ACAGTATCAGTTACCAGCCGAATCGATGAAAAACCTTTCGTCAACATCACAGATGCAATCAAAAGAAAAGAAATTGAAAATGTGAGCAAGTTGATTGTTCGCTACTATATTCCATCACAAACATTAATCATATGGATATTAGCAGGATTATCAATAATAATATTTTCAACAACAGTAACTTAAACATTAGTCATTATGACTTTGGTAATGGAAAGACTATTATTATTGTTGTTATGATTCTTGTAATTATTTTTCTTAATAGATCCATTATTATTTGTGTTATTATTATTAGTAATACTACTGCAGTCCTGAATTTTATATTGCTGTTTTAACATGTAATGATACAGACGTTTGTAGTGAGCAAGATCCGGCATTCCCGAAAAAGTTGAATAGTTTGGCGGGTCGAGAACTGGTGACTGCCACAATTCACAACAAACCCCAACAGCAAGAAAATTACTATGAAACGGATAGTGAGTCAAGTGAAGGAAGTCTCGATTTGGTATTGCTGTTTTGTTTGTCTTTTGCATTCTCATAACTCTATCTTATAACATTTTCCACTTCGGTTTTTATTAGTTTTAAGATTTTTGTCGATTTGTTTTGCTAAATAAAAGATATTAATTTAATGTCAAAATATCTCCACGTCCAACAAATAGATAAATGCGCTAAAAGATGGCCTTGTTCATTATCAATTATCTTTGCTTAACATTATCTTCATTTTATGTGATTATTAATGTTAATTCGCTAGATCTGTCTGCTTTGGAGTAATTTTGATTGTACTCCGTGTTTTTCTCACGAGATAATCGCATTGATATGGTGTGCCACTTCGTTAACAATATGTTTAAATAGATGAAGTCATTCAGGTACTCCTGAATACTGAGTAATTGATACTGAATTGTGAAAGAATCAAATTTTAGAATGAAGAAACAGATCAGTTGAAAGCAACGACGAGCGCCGAACGAGAGAAGAGTCCGACGACGACAGAAAATGAACACAATTCTGCGGTAAATGAAACTAATTCAGAAAATCTTATGGAATCTTGTGGTGAGCATTTTGCAGAATCATTTCTGTTTTTTTATTCAATTAACAGAACAGATGATGATACTGAAAATATTATTTATTGGTCATGGATTCAACTGCTATTCAATGTTATCGAGTGCTGAGTAAATGTTTTTTCCTTTTTATAAGCTGATAGGATTTTGCTTTGAACTTAATGGATATTGTCTTATTTTCAGTGAAATTAGAGGAAGATGAACAGAATTGTGCTGATGATGAAAAGAATGCCCGGAATATCAGTGGCAAAAATGATACGAAAAGTAACTCGAAAGATGAAAATCTGAAGAAAGTTGAGGATTATTTGAAAAGGAAAGTAAATAATCGTGTGGCGAATGATGAAAGACATCATGTGTTATTGTCGAGAACGAAAGAAATTGAATTGCAACGATCAAAGCTGCCGATTTATGCAGAAGAGCAAGTTATCGTTGAAGCGATCAACGAGAACACGGTATTATTCGTTATTATTTTTATTGCGATGATGTTGATAACTGATTTCAATCATAGTAATAATAATAATAATGATGAGAGCAACTGAGAAATTTACAGCCGTTAAGTCAACAGTGATAGAAATAATAACAATAATAATAACAGTATTGTGTATTTTTGTTGAATCTCAATATATAGGAATAACTTATGATGAAATAAGTAACCCGAATAGTACATTCAAAAAATATGAGTTATGATCAAACGAATGCCTTTTGAATATCTCGTGTTTCGGAGTAAAATAGAATAACAAGCACAAAATTGAATTGAAGTGTGTGGTGATCAGTGGTGAAACGGGTAGCGGGAAGACAACACAGATTCCGCAGTTTTTATATGAAGCTGGTTATACGAATGGTAATAAACTAATTGGTATCACTGAGCCACGGCGAGTGGCCGCAATCAGCATGGCAAATCGCGTGGCGAAAGAAATGAATTTGAGCGACACGGTTTCTTATCAGGTTTGTGCAGTCATTCTTATTGTTATTTCATTTGATTATTATCGTTTTTATTATTAGTTTTATCAATTATTAAATTTGTGTTATCTGTAAATATCTCTTAAAAATGATAGTGAAATGAATATTAAAGCACAAAAACTCTTTATGCAGTCGTATCTGGTGAATTCAGATTCGTTACGAAGGGAATCGTTCTGCGTCCACACGAATTTTGTTTATGACTGATGGAGTGCTAATGAAAGAATTACAGAATGATATCATGCTATCTGCATATTCTGTCATTATTATTGGTTAGTGTATCGTGCTTCCTTAATGTAAATGATATTTTGTTACTAAAGTTTCATTGATTCGTCAGTATGTAATTGTTATTAAGTTGTAGTTGTTTATTTCATTCTTTGATTGGAATGAACGGTTCAGTGATGACAAAAAGTAATTGTTAGCATTGTTATAGTAGTCATTATTGCTGATCGTATTATTTTTATCATTACTACTCGAATTATTTCGATCGTTAATGTTTTCAGATGAAGCTCACGAACGGTCGATGTATAGTGATGTTCTAATTGGATTATTATCTCGCATCGCTCCAATTCGATCTCGAACTGATTCACCGCTGAAGTTGATTATTATGAGTGCCACTTTGAGGATTTCGGATTTTACTCAAAAATTGTTGGTTTTACTCATCATTCTTGTGAAGATTTTTATTTTGGATTAATTTTTTTTTTGGAGAGTAAGAAATTGAGGAATGAAATTTTTTAGATTGTTTCCGAACGAAACACCTCGTATTCTCAAAATAGACTCTCGTCAATATCCAGTCACGATACATTTTGAACGCCGAACACCCAGCGATTATTTGCACGCGTCCTTTCGGAAGGTGTGCCGTATCCACGAAACATTACCTCTTGGTACTATACTCGTCTTTTTGAGTGGTCGTTTGGAGGTGATCCTTTCATCTGATTGATTCGAATTTTAGTTTTTTTTT